TTCATACCTGATGAGTTTGCATCCCTGTTTATTCTTCCCCTTATTATTATTTCAGCCAATACTTTGGCTCTCCATAACTTCAGCTTACTTTCAGCTGCAGAAACCATTCAAATATTAAACTATTCAGCCTTTTCAGCACATGGTGGGAAACTTTCAACTTTTTCAAAATATGTTATACTTTTTAAAATATTCAGCTTTTTAAAGTCTTTTTAACATGGAAGTCATTGCAATGCATTTGAGCTGTAACAATTTGATTCAAATCATTTCACTTTTCTGCATTTCTCCGCTAAGTTCAGCAACACACTTACTTGGTCTCTGTAGCTAAAAGCAGCTACCATTCAGCTAATAAAATATTCAGCTTTTTCTGCATTTTCAGCTAAATTCAGCCACAAATGTTCACAGTTTACAGCATTCGCACGCATTTTCTGCAGGAAATGCATTTTCTAGTTGTTTGTTGTGTCCCACCAGAATTAGAAAATACATCCCTTATCCTGCAGCTCAGCCCCTCATACCAGACAAGCTCAGGCTTATGCACACGTCATACTGATTCATTTATATTTTCATTATCGTGTACACATACTTTCACAGAGAGTTTTAAATGTTTGCAAGTGAGTCGTCATGCATTTCTCACGTGTCCATATGTAAGCCGTTTGTTTCTGTCACTGTGTCCACTCTGGATTCTACCTCATAGAATTCCTGTGAGCAAATCTATTCATCAAAACATTTTCTCCAAGCATTAAAAAAGTTTGTCTTTTTAGTTTAGATTTCCCATTTTTTTTATTTCAATACTGCGACTACAGAGGAACAGTAACAGAAAGAGGTTTTTAAAGATGTGAACCATCAATTTGTATCTTCCCCGTCTATTACTCTGCACTGTAGGAATGGGTGCCCATCATCAGGTGTGACATGATGACCCAGAGGAAGATGAAGGCTCAGCCCCCGCTGTCTGACGCTTATGTGCACGGCATGCCAGCTAAACGCAGGAAGGTAATCAGATCAGTTGTAACTTGACTTGTTTTGTACGAATCTCACGTGTCCTTACCGTCTTTAAGCTGTCTGTGTCTCTGTGTTTTCAGACCGGACTGAGTGGGGGAAGCCTCCTCTCCCTCTCTGACGCCGTGAGCCAAGCGGCCAGGACAGCAGGAGTGAAGCCCATCACTTCTGCTGAGCACTTACAGGAGGACCTGGACACCCAGGAGCTCAGAGAAGCATATGCAGAGCAGGTAACTGGGTTATGTAAATTACAACAAACGGCACTGCACGTCATTTAGGCTAACTATATTTGTTAGACTTGATTTGAGAAAATATTTTTGACCTACCTCACTAATTGTAGTTGTGAATGCGACCAGTTTCACAATGTGATGCATATATGTCTGATATTCTTATCTTAATTTGTAAGCATTATGTTTTCTAGTTGTATGTATATTGCACCCTTATCTTAGGAAAGCAAAGTCAGCACAAACGTTCACGTGGGATTTTGAATGAGGGTTTCTCCCCTCCTCTTTAATGCTGATCACAGGGAACAAACCTGTGGTCACACGACTGCCTCTCTAAAACCCCTTCTGACATACTGTTTGTATTTCCCACCATGATAATAATCAGAATCTTTTTCCTCTTAGGTTAAAGCAGACATCAAGAAACGAGTGAGGGAAGACCCAGATTTCAACCCTCAGCATTCCCCTAACGCACACAGAGCGTTCTTATCAGACTCGTAATCAGGTCCAAATGCTATGAAACCCGCAAGCCGCTTTCCTTTTTATTATTTTCTCAGATCTTCATTCGACTTCTTCTCACTGCAGCTTCGCCCCCTAAAACTGTCGGTATGGCTTTTTAAGCAGTTAGCCGCTCTCTTGACTAATTGCCTCATGCTAATGTGACTCCTTCTCCCAGTGCCTATTTATTTCTTCTTGTTTATTTTGGTCCAACTTCTGCTGAGAGAACGTTCCTTGTGAAAAGGTTTCAGATTTAAGTTTGACTAAATCACGTCACTTTACTTCTGTCTTCTACTTCTGTCTGTATGTCCTCTTTGCCCACATATCCTTGTGTTGCTTTGTTTATATGGAGCCTGGATTCTAATTGTTTAGTGGACTTTAGCCTTCCTGTCAATACTCTCAAATGCAAGGGTATACTTTCATGTAATGGACAAGCTGTTTGCTACATGAATGTACAGTAAGCTTAATAAAAATCTTGATACAACACAAGAGTATTCTTCTTGAGTCTTTCTAATCTGTTCTGAGGTTAAGGAACAAGAACTTGCAGCACTCAAATGCAGTGGTGTACTCGGATCATTTACCTAAGCAATACCACAGTGTAATAAGTCCTGCATTTACATTTGACTCATAATGAATAACAGACCATTTCAGGATATAAATACTATTAGATTATGATTATTGATGCATTATAATCACATTAATGTTGCAGCAGGTAACGGTGGACTTAACTTTATATAATGCATGATAGATTAATATATCATGCATTTTTTTATATTTCTTTATAAATATTAAACTGCAAAGTAGGAAATACGTTTTCAATATAAGTGCAGTAAAGAGTACAATATTTCCCTCTGAATTTTAGTGGAGGTGAAAATAATAGGAGCCTACTAGGTAGGAGCAATAGGTTCTTACTGACTTTCCACCACTGCAAAAATGCCAAGAAAGATAATTCAATTCATAGGATTTAAATGTGGTAATTGAAAACAGGGCTGCTGTGGCATAGTTTGTCCACCAGAGAGCGCTAACACGTTTATCTTTCTACTAAATTATATGAATGAACCCATTTCAGTTGCTTGAGTTATGTGCTTAGTAAAGTTACTATTCACTTAGGAACAGGGACATGCTTGACTTGATACTGCAATACATTACATTGACAACAAATACCTAAACCTACCTCTCACTGTATATTGTAGTGTTTATTCAGCTCTATCAAAGAAAAAGAGTAAAAAAAAGAATCACATCTTTCTTTTAATTGTGACCACAAAAAAAAATTAACTTATATCTTACTGTGAAAGCTGTGGGGTTGGGTGTAGGAGTCTCTGCATGGTCCATCTTGCACAGAAAGAACATCTATTGTTTAAAAGTCTGCAGCCCAAAGTGACGAAAACCAGATTGAACTTTGCCGGGGTTTACCAAGCTCTCTCAAGCTGACAAACCCAGACAGCTTGATCTGAGAAAAAGACTTGCTGCCCAGATCCAGTAGATATTATATAAGAAAATTCTCAAGAGCTTTGCAGAAGTTGGAAGACAAGATGATGTGCAGTAATGTCTTCATACTTATACAATAAATAAATATATATATATATATCTGATATGCACTCATTTCAGCAAAGATCCCTGCAGACAATAGGTGACAGTGTGATAAAAGCTGGACATATTTCAGACTTCATCCAAAAAACAGCTGCAGATTCAAGGCCTTTCAAACAATAAGATATGGCTATGAAGCGTTCAGCTGAATGTGACAGAGGTTCATGTTTTGACAGGAGATTGCTTTATATTCTAAGGATTAAATATAGCAAAGAAACATGAGTTTGATGCAAAATAAATGCTTTGATCATGTTGAAGAAAAAGGAGATAAAGAACACAAGGAATAAAAATGTATTTTCTTGAGATGGAGGTGACTTGAGTTCACTCGGAGAGCAAACACTTTCAGATTCTACATTTTGCATGCCCACTGCCAGCAATTCTCTGTTTAACCATCTCTGCTAGTTTCAATATACATTGTTGATCCTGCCGCACCGAATCACAACTTAGCAGCTAAGGGTCAGAAGATGTCAAATAAACTGCCTCACTCACCATGTGCTTCCTTCATACTTCGTCCCAAATTATCTTTGACCCTGGAAGTACATCCAAGTCTTCCAGCCCAGATGTGTGGGTAATACAGTTTTGTTTAGTTTTTTGTGTTTTACCTTGGCCTTGTCTTGAATAGAAAAAAGAGCAAATTGTGATCTGTTTCTTTTTTTTAATCATATAACAAAACTTTAATTATGGTCATTTTCTATATAAATAGTTAGATATTGTCATCAAACTGAGTCTAAAGGCATCACTTCACTACAATTAACAAAATAGCTATGAGAAAAAATGTGCAGCATATATGCTGGATTATTTGAAGAGTAAGAATTACTTTTAAAACATTCATATGTTTCTACATCGCTGTAAATACAGGTGATGTAGTCTAGTGTCTGACTTTGCACACAGTCAATTCATTCATTTAGCTCAAAGCATTGCTGTATTTAAGTGCATACTTACAGAGTAACATGACTTCTTAGTTCTGCTTTATACCCACACATTTAGCTTTTCTTAATGTCTTAATGCTGAGAATTATACATTATCCCACTCCCTCTCCTGGTGCCTAAAATCTGATCTGCATGGCTGTGGTGGTGAAGTGACTAACAATAGGTTGCTTTGCTGCTAACCACAGTTTGAGTAAAATAAAATATCGACAGACATGTTGCATTTGAAAAGCAATAACAAAACACTTTTAAAGGGTCATGAGGGATGATCCGAAATGGGCTACACTTAAAATCTTTAATAGGTTCTCTAATATACCAAAAGTCTCTTCGGACAGAAACTTGTAGGAATATTTGAATATGTTACATCAGTCTACATAAAACCATGTCATAGGCTCCACCTTGCCAATGAATGCTATCACAGAAGGATCTCTTTATATAATAAATAGATGGATCTAAATATAAAACGCTGGTAATTATTTACACGGTGTGCACACAATGACCTCATTTTACAATGGCAGTGCTGAAGCTGCACCACTAAACAGGTTGGACTGCCTGCCTTATGATATTCAGAGGAATCTAAACCGTGAAAACAGTTCCTGGTTGGCATCCTGTTTGGGAATGTGACGCAGTCATGTGGCACCAAGTTTCCTACTCCAAGTGAAAACACCGCTCCTTATCAGCACTTAATCAGACAAGCTTAGCATAACATTTCCCATATGTCTACTGCAACCCCACATGTTTATCTATTCGACAATGAAAGAAATGAGACAAACAATATGATGAAGCATGATTTAGTAGGAATACAATGTGTTGATGTGTTTCAAACAAGAAACAAACAGAAATAAATATACATAGAAAACAAAAGCATGATTTTGTAACAGTTCATCTGTCAAGCTGCAACAGGTTTGAATTAAATGTTATCTTAAGACATCCAACACCCAAATCCACTGTCTGCAAAACACAGTGAATTGTGTTCAGCCATTATCATTTATCTCTGGGAGTGGTGAGCACAGTCAGCCATCATGGTGCTAACCTGCGGTTTATTTGCACAAGAGGTGTGTGTGTATATATTGAGCATACACAGCTGCTGTTAAACTCTTTCTTCATGAGAGAGATAATAATTAAAGAGGTGATGCTTAAGAATGAGTTCAACATTTATGGAGTTACCCTTGTTTGCCAGAAGTCAGATTAAAGGTTATAACAACTGTACAAAAAAAGTTACCCCTGCTGTCGGTTAGCTTAGCATTAAGAATGGAAGAAAGGCGAAACAGCCTGTGGTTGTAATCTTTTCCTCTCAGGAAAGAAGTTGTCTGGCATGTAACCCTCCATCAAACCAAACACACTTCTTTCGGGTGGATTTGGTTCCCCTTGCTTCCAGTCTTTATGCTACGCTAAGCTAAACTAAGCAGCTGTTAGCTTTAGCTTCATATTTATGTTACAGACATGATAGTGCCATCAAATGCAAGAAAGCAGACATGTTAAATGTCACCCTTAATGCCTAACAACTTCTCCAAAGAAACACAATATTCGAAGAAACAAAAACTGCATAATTTCAATGAAAGTAAGGAAGCGGGTAATAATATCATCTGTGAGAAATCTTTACAAAGATGTGTGCTATTAGCGAACAAGGCATTTTCTCTACATACTACTGTTATAATATAATGGTCAAAACTAACAGTCCAACTCAATACAAATGTCCTTGTAAGTTTGATTTTCAAAGTTAGAGGAACAACAATTATTCAGCAGTGTTCATTTGTTGGTTTATTTACTGTACGAGTGGTTATAGAAAGGCTCCAGGATTTGATCGAGGATCTTTGACATTTCTGAATCTGTGAGCGAGCCAAACTCCAAGGATCTAAAAGAAAAGAGAGATAACTGTTAGTAAGTGTCACGTTTTTTTGCATTTATGATAAAACCAGCACAATTCATCTAAACGTCTACATCAGCACCCACTCTATACCAAATTATTTGTTGCTATGACATTTACTGACCTCTGTAAAGCTGAAGAAGAGTCCGATACCGCCCACAAAGCGTAGCACCTCTCCGGCATACTGCAGTATGGTGGTGGAGCACGTGACACACGTCTCAGGGTGGATGTCAAAGCAACTCTAGTAGAAGTAACAGAGAACATTCATTAACATGATCATACAAGTCAAGATCATATTGTTCCTAAGAGGAAAAATAAATATATATTCCAGTTGGATTTACTTACAGCAGCACATGAGCCATTGATGGGAACAAAGGAGAAGCCACAACAGCCGAGGGTTTTCTCTACGTCCCTTTGAGTCGCCTCGGATTTGTTCCATCCAACTTCCAGCAGAAGTTTCTGTAAAGGAAACGCACACAGTCTGGTTGTCTTTTCATTTATTTAATTAGAAAGCATAAGAAAAGAACAAGGGATTAATATGAATCATCCTTAATTTATAATTTAATAAATACATTTCACTCAACACATGTGTGAGTATTAATGTTTCTGAGACACTAATAGGCCAAAATAACTTTATCATAGAACCAATATAGACAACATGAACATACCTGTTGTTCTTTATTCAGGGCCAGACAGGCACAGGACACAGAAAACTGCCCGACAAACACTATGAACAGGACCATCATGTACTGAAGGAAGTTAAGGACGTTTTTATAAGATTTAAAAAAACCATTCTGAAATCTCACAAGAACGAATGAAACACAAGCTTAACAGAGCGATAAAAGAGTGTTTGGGTTATTTACTTTTCATCCTCCTTTGGCACACAACCATTTGAGGTGTGATGCGACTCCTTGTGCTCAGTCAAACAAACCAAAGGATACGAAGAAGAGCAGGACCTGGTGGTGCTTCAGGGCGCCGCACAGCCCCACAAAGGCGACCAGGAACAGGAAGACCCCGACGCCGATGACCCCCGCCACCACTCTGATGCTGGAAACCAGGTCAAACCATTTCCCCCAACCTGCCACTCCAACCAGCAGCAGACTCACCAACTGAGGAGGAAGGAAACAATGTTGAGAGAAGAAGGAACATGTAGGATTACTGAAGGGGCCTAAAGAGCACAAGACCAGGGACACAACATGTCAGGAAACAACATGGCCTTCATCTACAAAATAATACCAAGAGAGACACATACCAACCTAAAAAGAGAATCAAAGTGACCACAAGGAAACATTAAATGACAACATAGAGATGCAAAAGAGATGGATAGACACACAACCACAGACAGAAAGAACTACAGAAAGACCAAGATAATTACAAAGACACACAAAATGACCACAAAGAGGCTTATTGTCTTATATTGAGCCTATAAAAAGGGGCGTTTGATTGTACGTCATGTGGAGGCTCGTTGATGTATACCAGCTGGTTGAAGGTGTGTTAGTTGAGGTAAAGATCAACATACTTCTCACACTATGCCACATGGTTGCTGAAACAATTAATCATTTTATTTTCATTGAAACTCTTTCTCCAAGACAGTCTCCAGAGTAGGGCTGCTCAATTAATCGTATTTTAATCGCAATTACGATTATGGCTTGCAACGATTACGAAAACAACGTAATCGAAATAAAACGATTATCTTTTTATTATTATTAATTTTTTTATTAATTTTTTTTTTTTATTGGTTTTTCAGTTGAATTATACTTAAAGTTCAGGGTAATCAACTGTTAAAAACATACTGTTAAAAAAAAAGTTCTCCAATAGATTGAAGTTTTCAAAGTAAATGGATAATCGTTTTTAATAATCGTGATATCAATTATTGACCCAAATAATCGAGATTATGATTTTTGCCATAATCGAGCAGCCCTACTTCAGAGTGTATAAATATAGAACTGCCTTTGAAAGTCCCCCCAACATTTCCAGTTTTAGTTTTCTAATAAAATATATGTACTCAGGCAACATACAGTAAAGGCTTTCTTTGCTTTAACGTGGAGGCCTTATGCAGCGTGGGAGAAGAGGCAGGCTTCACCCTGATACTTTGACTTCTTTTGGATTTGTTTTGTATACAAAATATATTTTAATCCCTATTTTTATAGATTGTTGTACAAATGTTGATGATGTCGTAACAAAAAAAAAAACTGTCCTTTACGGTGACTGACTGTGCTCTTTGTTTTAAAGATGCAAATTTAAAATGATCTGTAATGTCAGACCTGCTTATCAAGGAGACTGAACATGTGGGGTTAGTGCAATAACATGACATTTACATAGCCTTTTAGTTCTATACTACTATTATGGATATCCCAATAACCAAATCCATCATAACGTGCTATGGTGTAAGTATATTTATATTTGTACTTATAAAAAAAAAGAATGTAGTGAATGTCGTGTTGTTTGTGGGTGAAATAAAACTACATTCAATAAATACAATTAGTTAAAAAGGTAACATAAAAACAAAATTAAGAGATATGTTGTGTTGTTTTGATCAGAGAGACTCAGAGATGCCTAAAAGTTTGAATAAGCCTACATTTATTTATGATTAAGCATTGATTATCCTTTCTTTGTGAAGCCAGCAGTACTAGCTACACCAGCCATGAACTCTGTGCCTAATCATTTCCCAAACACCTGCCTGCTGCCAAAACAAGGAAACGACTCTTAATAAACGCTTACATCTTTTAAAAATAATTAACAAAACGGGTAACTAGCACAAATCATGATAAAAGCAGAAACATGTGTTGACATTTAAAGCCTTATTCCAGTTAAATCCGCATCGGTTCAACAGCAGTAATCATACTCACGATGTAAAGTATATTGAGGGCGCAGAGTGCGTTCTTGGTGCAAACGTATCCTCCGCAAACCATCTCTGCTCGCCAGTACAGTCCTTAAAAATATAAATAAATTGATATATTCCTACTTTTCCCAGGTTTTTAAGGAAAAGCTTTCAGTCTCGAGGCTCTCCGGCTCCTTGTGGCTTTTTGCCCGCAGGTGGAAACCAGAGAGCGTTTCCTGAAAAAGAATCCAGCTCGCTGATTGGTCAATCACCTTCATTACACCTGAGTCATATCCTCATGCAGATTATTATTTTCCTATGGACATATTATTAAACTCAGATCAGTAGGTCACTTTAGGTTAAGGGTAACTAAGATCTCTTTATCTAGTCTATTCCACTTCACATTTAAAAAACATGTTGATATGTTTTATTTTATATGGACGATATGTTTTTGCTTTAAAAAACACCTCCCTTACTTTTAAGCATATGCGTTTGAGATAACAACATTCTTGACAAATAGAGGTGTTTATGTTATTGTGTCTACCCTCCTTGATTCAAAATGGGATGGCCAACATAATAGAAACACCCTAGAGTATAAGGGAATAATATTCAAAAACAAAACCTCCCAAATGATTATAAAGTTTCATCAACACCTCCCTTATTGAAAACGTTATAAAGGTAGGGTTTATTTAAGGACTGATGCTGCATTGAACTGCATGAGTTTCAACTGCGTGTTCCCAATAAACTGGCAACTGAGTGTAAGTATGTTGTGTAGTTTCTTGATCGCCATCTGCTGGACAAACAGTGTTACAATTTATTAAGTAAAACATGTCGACTGTGTCTATTGATTAATGAATGTATCTGTCATGTATTTGACTCAATTATCCTCACTGATCTTTAATTTACATTTAACACAGAAACATTTGATTGATTAAATGTAGAGCTGGCCATGGTCATTTAATTTAAATACCAATTTGAGTGTTCATAAAACATTTCTGTTTAATTTGCAAAATATATGAAGATTGAATAACATTTTTAATTAAATACCAGATTAACCTGGATTTAAATAAATAAAATATAAAATAATATTTGAGTCCACGGAAATCATGAGTCAGCAAGGTCAGACGATCAAGTGATTTTCATGAAAGAGGAAAACCCCATGTTTGTACATGTTCTTTTTATTTTTACTCAATTCAAATTCAGAGTTCAAGATTTCAAAAAGAAGTTTGAGCATCGTACCAAATGTCAAACAAAATGATAAAAGACAGGTTATGGATAAAGACATTCAATACAGAAAGGATGTCTGTTTCCTCATTTAAAACTAAAATATCCAGCTAAATGTTTCAACATGCTGAGAAAAAAAAGCACGATTAAAACAACATAAGCGAAATAACAGCCATCTGGTGAACTCAAGACAAGAAGTCACTGACACATCTGTTAACTATCTTGTTATTTTGTTAATACGTCTAATAATAAGACCTGTGATGGTTGCTTATTGTATGATGAAATGTGTTCCTGTAAAAAAACAAAAGAACACGACTTAGTCATACCACATTCTGCAAAAAGAAGAAGTGCATGACGTGTCATCCCTCACAGTGGGTTTCCTTTTGTCCTTAACCAAACCAAAGTGCACTTACGATATCCTGCATTTAAACCGCTGCCATGGTGTTAGTGTTGGTCTCTGAGGTGAGGTGCGTTCTGTCTGGGATAAACCTGACAGGATAATGGAAGAAGAACTGAATTACGTGACGGTGACTTTCAAGACTAAGGGTAATTCTGCTCATGGTGAGTCATGAATTTTGTTTTGACGCTGTACATATTCTGTCTGCCCAACTGCACCTAGAGCAGCGTTGGAAATAATATGTACTGTAATACTCACTGTAAGCACATATTTGAGGGTACTGCACACGGTTTTCACTGTATTATACTATGTAGAGCAGAAGCTAAAGGTACCATGAACAAAACAAATTTAAGTAGATTTATTTAATAGATGCATTTGTAAACTTTTACATGCAAACATAATATGATCCACTGTTCTACACTGTACAACTTCATTTAAAACAACTTTATAAACAGGACTTAATAAATGTTTTTACACTCAGTATACACAGCTCCAGTATTATATAGATTTAGGATCTAAACTGAACTAAAGTAGTAGTACAATTAAATGAATCTCTGTGTGATATAACAATACGTTGCCTGATACAGAATAATGCACTATTAACTACTTTTACTACTTCAGCTGTTTGCTATACAATTTCTACTGATAATGAATCAAAACACACATTTCAGATGTATGTTTCTTTGGTTTCCTGTTTCATCTACCTCAGGTTTTGATACCCTTTAGCGAGAACAGGAAACCTTGTCACTTGAAATGCAGAATCAGATTGCAGAAAGGGAAGTGACTTTCTAAGATGGCTTATCTCACAACAATAATTTCCTTCAAACTCTTTTGCATTTTGCAGAGAAACCAAACGACATGGAAGCAATCTACGATGAGGTGAAGATATTGGAGAAGAATGTGTTGGACGCAGATCCTGCCATACCAGGTTCGTTATGGATCTAAAGAAATAAAAAATGTCAAAATGATTTTATGAATTGATCGTTTTTTCTGTTATTTGTAGAAAAGGAAAAGGAAGCTCAAAGATACACTCTGCTTCATCTGGTGGCAGCAGCTTTGGGGATACTTTGTTTCATCTTCATCGCTGTCAGTATCCACTGTAAGTCTGTCTACCTAATTTCATTAGTTAAAACAACAAGTGAGTGCAAAGGTAACAGTTTCCTCCCTTAATCGGTCACACAGTCATGTCAGAGCAGCACAGAGAAGGAAACAACTTGATGGCACAGAATCTGCAGCTGCGGACAGAAATGACGGATTTAGAGAGACGGGGAGAAGAGCTGACCAGAGAGAGAGACCAACTCAACTGGACCCTCGGAGTCATCATGGAATATCAAGACTTCCCTGTGAAAACACTCTGCCCACAGAAAGGTAAACACATGGTGTCATTGGTGAAAGGGATTAACTCAAGTTAAGTACATGTTTTAGATATGTGTGCTTTACTTGAGTCACTTTTGCTCCAGTGCATCTCAAAGGGAAATACGTTTTACTCCATTGTTATTGTCTGACAGTTTAAGTTACTTTTTAGATTACAACTTTACAGAGAAAGATATTTTAAAGAGACCCAATTATCCTTTTTGGGGGGTTTCCCTTTCCTGTAGTGTGTTATGCACGGTTTTGTTGATGTAAAGGGTCTGCAAAGTTACCTCCAGGGGGAGTTTCCCTCCCACACACTCCCCACCCTCCTGAAACGCCTCCATAGGACTCCTTTATTTACTTCAGTAACATAATGACATCACTGTGTAACCCTCATGCTTTTATTTGATAACATATTGTACGTGATAGGCTAAGAGGACATCTCTAAGTTGACCAATCACAACAGAGCCAGCCAGCCATCCAATCAGAGTAGACGCTCGTTTCAGACAGAGGGTGAAAAGAGGTGCTGCAGCACAGGCAATATAAAGACCATTTGTACAAAATTAATTTGACAAATTAAAGTGATGAACCTGAAATGAACATGTCCCCTTTAAATGTATTTAACTGAAGGATGGAGTGCTCCTTTATGGCTTGAGAAAAGTCTCATTCTAAAACCCTCGTGGCTAATGTGTAAAACACATCGTCACAAAGCTCAAAACAGGGATAAAGAGTTGTTTTCCAGCTGGTTTTTAATTTAAAGTTAACTTTTTAGACACACACAGTACTAAGAGGACATCAATGCTACAAACCTATGAGGATTTTGAAACAATATCCTACCCATCAATATATAAAGTTATTCAAATTAGCACAACTTTATTAATCTACAAGAGTCAAATGCAACATACACAAGAATGCGATAAAGTATCAATTCAAAAACATTATATATAATCGTAAAACACTCACAGGAAACATATTACATATTACACATACTGCACAATGTCTACTTTAATTTGTCTTGCTTTAACTACTATTTGGTCATAATGATACATAAGTAAGGTTGTTGTGGACTATTTAAGTTTGCAGTATTTGTACTTTTATTTAAGTTATTTTAAGTGTTTCAGGGGTCTGTTTGGATGTTTGTCATCGCTCGTCCACCGAGCCACTTACTTCTGAGCTCTTAACTTGTTAATATAACCACTACCTTTTATTTCATTTTGATTTGTATAAATGTTCCTTGTGAACATTGTTGAAAAACATAAATCATCTTTCAGAATTTGTACATTTTGGCACAAAAATGCTTTTATTTTGAGTGAAATAAGCTGTTTTAAGAAAGGGAAGGATGATACTTATTTTATATGTAGTTGAAAATGACTATGATTGTGATTGTGTTGTCTCTTGTCCAACAGTGTGTAAACCTTGCCTGGACGGCTGGGTGCTGTTTCAGTCAAACTGCTACCTGTTTACATCAGGTACTTGGTCCTCCAATTGGAAGAATTGGCAGGATAGCCGCTCTGAATGCCAACAAATGCGTGCGGATCTGGTGGTGATTGAGAGCTTGGAGGAACAGGCAAGAACGATTTGATTTAATTTATAATGTCATGCTCAAATAAAGCCAAAGAGCATCTCCATCTCTGTTTCATAGCCAGAAAATATACTGTGTGACCACAAACAACTGACACAAAAGATGATAGTGTAAAAATTGTTTAAAAAAAACCCACCCACTGTAAGCCTCACAGCTAGTTGAATTCTGCATTTTATACATTTGTAATCCTTTCCGCTATGTTTTTTAATGTTCCTTTCTGCTGTTTCTGTGTTTTTACGTTTATTGTTTTTCTTTGTGATATACATTTTATTGCATCTTTTTGTATTAAATGTGTTGTAGTTATCTCAATTATAGTTATATTTTATATGACACTTTTCTATATTGACAACTGTATCAAAACATCTAGGAATTCATCTATAACCACACAGAGCACTATGATGATGACAATCATGGATATTGGATCGGCTTGAGCAAGACGGACATGTGGACGTGGGTAGATGGACGCAACCTCACTGTGACGTAAGCACACAAAAACACTCACGATCACTCAAAAGCTGCCACATCATCACCACAGTGATTTAGACACATGTCTTTATCACACACCTGACCAGGTTGGCAGCCTTTTCCCCTGTGTGCTGCATTTTGAACTTTGTGTGACTGGGATTTAGTGAAATATGACACACAGGGAAATGTATGCAAAAATCGCCCAGTTTTTTAAAATGGCAGATGGTGAAATGAGTAAAAAGCAGATGG